TATATATGTTTATATAATAGGTATCACAAGCAATTGCTATCTTTACACCTGTTCACGATATACTTTGGATAGTAATAATATATATATCATGCGCTCCCAACGCGTTGCCCAAAGATATTCTCATTCTTTAAGTGCCATTATGTGTCCAATTTCGAAACCGAAGCCAAAATAAACACAGTTCATAGTGCATTTTTTGTCTTTCTGGACATCCAGCCTCACGGATACATCAGCAGCTGTGTATGGTAAATATCCGTAGTCGTTATGCCATCAACCCAGAATACTAGCATTGTATACGTAGTAGTCAAAGTATATACGTACCATATTCACTTTAAAAGCTGTGTTGCGGGCTATGATACTGAGGTTGAATACGGACTCGAGGACTGAGAGAGCCTGAGGGTCTAAACTTCTCTCAACCTCCGACTCCGAGTCCGAAACACCGATCTGACAGGGGCTAAATATATATATATTTTTAAACAAATGAATATATCGCGCCAAAATAATTATAGCCTTTATATAGGCCTGTATAAATTGAATTTTTCTTTTTCTTGTGGATTTCGACACGGAGCAGAGCGAATTCACCATAGAAACGCACTCTTTTCGAGAATTTGGGTAGGGAAATTATTTTTTTGTGAAAAAATTCAATCGAATATTCATATGTATTTTACTTATTTAGTATACATTTTGTTTAATTTAGAAGGCTATGTACATATATAAATATATATTGCCATTTTTAAATAGGTTTACCTTGAATGAAAGCTTTCACATACGCCAAGTTCAATCTAGAGGCACATAATAATGAAGATCGCAGCAGTGCTCTACCTTATCACAGTGTGTGCAGGCACAGTACTGGGTTGGGATGAATTAAGTAATGAGGAAATAAAGGAAAGTGTGATAGCGCAACGCAATTCGGCTGCCGACGGAGAATTAGACACAAACTTTCATTGGACTGTAAGTTATACACATATGTTGTATGTGCTCTATGAGTCTAGCGTGTTATTCCTTGGCAATGTAAGTACATCTGGTATTGCGTTTTGTGAATACAGTTTGCTCACTGATTGAACTGTATTTATATGAATTTGTATATGGATAGCTGGCTCTCTCATTGAATATAAGATTATGTTTGATACAAGTTGATCTAGTATCTAGAATTGGAAAAACAAACTCAAAATTTCATTTGAATAAAGATTACGATGCGCAAAGTTTATATTATACGCTATACATTCCGAGTGTACTCTAATACTTTCCAAATTGGGATCATATATTGCAAGTCGAATAGAAGTTCCCATCCATTTACGACGGTGCCAGCTTGCTACTCGCCTGTACATGTAATTTTTTGAAAGCTTGTGTTGAAAATCATAGTACGTGCATATTTATTCATGCAGATATATTCGAAACGAAAGGTTTGTGTAAAAGACGGGCGTATGGTTGATACTGTTTGTCAGTGCCAAAAAGTTAAAACATTGGGCATCGATTAAATGAATCAGTACAGATCGAACTAAATATCTGGGTGTGATTGAATACAAGATGTTTGCTATAAATCAGCTGATCAAATATCTGCGGATATGTACACATAATCATCTGGATATATATGGATATGTATGCATATATGTGTATGTATATATATATATATATATATGTATATGTATATATATATATATATATATATGTATGTATGTATGTATATATATATATATATAGTACGTGTGTATGTATGTATTTTATGTATATATATATGTTGTATGTAACGTATTTAGTTCACGAACGGTTTAGAATGAACTAGCTGCATACTTTATGTTTTTATTAGTAGCGTAATAGCTTACAAGATTATGAAGGCTGATCACCCCATAATCATAACTTATATACAGTACCCATACTCAGTGGTTCTATCTTTCATGAGTCTCCTCTGGGTACTGACACAGAATACTTGGGCATCCATCAGTTCTCAGTCCCCTCTGCAGACCCATCTAGTATTTTACACTACTTTACAACTTAATCCATCACTCAGTTTTGTGTCCAGACTCTAGTGGTATATGCACCAAAAAACTGGTACGCATATAACTTTTATATATATATATATATATATATATATATTCGTCTGTGTTGTTACGTGTGTGTGTGTGTGTATTTGTCTTATAGAAAC